GGGTGGCCGAAAAGTAGGGTAGTAGACTTATTAGTAGTAGTAGTAGTAGTAGTATTATTTTACATCAGGAGAGCAGCTTAGGGCTGCCCTCAGAACCTCTCTAGGAATATGCAGATGTTCTAAGCTATAGTTTTACGATATATGAAATGAGAGTGCCTTAGAAAGAAAAGTGAAAGCCTTACGGCTATTTCTGGTAATCATATGTTACCTTCCAATTTGTACATTTTTTCCTCCGCCAGTTGAGGTAATCCTGCTGTTTTGCCTGGTGTAGACAGTTGTGTTCATTTTGTAGGCCTGCCGTTACATAAGCTCCGGTAATTCAGTAAGCTACTTCTAGTATAACAATTAAAGTATTTGTTATGTTCCAGGAAGCATTCTCAGATATGCTTTCGCATGTTTTGTTGATATTTAATCAGGTTTTTCATACCTGTTGATAATATTGTTTCTCTGTATACACTCTGCAAAGAGAGTTGATGGCTTCGTTTATATCGTACATTGCGAGTCGATCCTGGTAGTGGATATATATTGTCACGGGGTTTAGGTTGTTTGTTTGTAGAATGCGGGCTTGCGGCCCTCTACTTTGGGCATATATCTTCGTAGAGTAGTAGACTTATTGACTCCTGGAATGAACCATTACCGTATATATAGAAAAGATGATTCAACCCGAACACAAATGATCAGGAACTATCTATCTACTCACCCAGTCCTGATACAGAAACTCGCTGACCAATACAGAAATCAAATAAAACCCTGAAACGAACTGTTTATATCTTTATCACTCTCAGTATCTGAGATTTTTATAGAATTCGAACAACGCCCTAATATAAAAAACATTTAATAATTATAAGCAACTAACTTCATATTATTCTATAAACAGGATAAAGTCTGTATTATATATCTTTTATAGGATAAAATTGATTATTTTAATAATCGAATTACCCCTGAAACAGATTATCTATAATCTATTAAAACATTACCAAACTTAATAAAACTGGATTATAAGGATATACTCTCTGGAAAAAGGAAAATAGTCAATATATTAAGTAAAGTCCCATTGTATCTTTATGATTTTGTAACTGAATATTATAAATCTATATATTTATAAAAAATCACAAAAGCTAATATTACTGTGACCAAAAGGGTATAAACAGGACTCCGATTGTGTACTTAGAATCTACAAGTGAAGAGCTATATAGAGTGCTAAAAGGAGGACTATATCTACAGGTATTTGAGAGCTATAAAGGCTAGACCCAGAAGAGTGAAAGAGTTCTAGAGATAAGCATTATACAATGTTTAGGTCTAAAGTTATAAAACTAGGGCTCTAAGCTGTGAAAAAAATGTCTAAAAGAACTATCGTATTATACTATATATATAATATAAGCTAGTGGGCGGAAGAGAGTTGTTTGTTCTATTATATTATCTTTCCTTTCGAAAAAGCGTAACCTCATGTATCTTTTCATAGGCAAATCGTCTATAATCTCATTATAATTATCAACTTTATTATTATAATTTTTATTTATATTATAAATACAATAGGTGATCCTATTTGGTTAAAATAATTAAAGTAATAAACTTAAAATTTATAAAGGGAATATTTAAAATTATCTGCTTTATATTATATAATATCCAGAGAGTAATCTAACTAGGAGATCTGATAGAAAACGTTTTTATATTACAACTTTGAAGCTAATACTTTTTCTATTTTCTATTCTTTTTTGTTAATAATTTTCATAAGATGTAACAAAAGATTAATTTATCCTAAAAATAGATCTTTTAATATAAAACAAAGTTTTTTAGAAGAAAATACATCGAATATATATATTGTTACCAAAAGTTTAAATTAATACAAC